TGACATTTCCAATTTCTGATCAGGTTAGGAGGGCTACCACCCTTAATAATAGTGGATTACCTCCTGGATGTGAAATACTTTATATATTAGTTAGCCTTTAACAACAATTCAGTTAGCAATTAACAACAAATATATATATAAATATGTATTTATATATATATATATTATTAGCAATTAACAACAAATATATATATATAAATATGTATATATATATATGTATATATATATATATATATATATATACACATATATATATATATATACACATATATACATATATATATATATACATATATACATATATATATATATATATATATATATATATATATATAAATATATATATATATATATATATATATATATATATATATATATATATATATATATATATATATATATATATATATATATATATATATAGTATTGGACAAAACATTTGCAACCCACATCGAAGAATGCTAAAAAGTGTTTCTAATTTTACATGTCTTAAAAACGAAACGAACTATACTACCACAGCAAACAGTTCAGGAATCTGGAGTCATATCATGCCATGGCATGAGCAATCAGCTGACAGGTGACAGCAAACAGGCAGAATTTCGTTGACAAGTGCCATTTTTCAGCAAACAAAACAAGTGCAACTTTTTTGGTTTGTTTCATTTTCTTAAGTCTGGTCCGTGTCAACGTCACGGAAGTTTTTTAATAATTAAAAGAAGCATGCAGAAGCTTCCAGAAGTTTCTAGAAGAAGCATCTAGAAGCATCCAGATGCATCCGGAAGCTTCCAGAAGCATCGAAAAGAAGCATCTAGAATCTTCCAGAACAGGTTCTCACAGCTTTATTTTACTATATAAGAGACATGTAAACCAACATGTAATTCAGTCAGTATATGGAAGTCAATCAGTCAGTATTATCAAGACAGTTTATCGAAGTGAGTTTTATAAAATTGTTTTATCGAAGAACATCAATACAAGAAGTGAAATACAACAAGTGTTTCATTACATCAATACAGTCCACATCCAACCAAGACGTTGTGTTCCACAGAGCATTATTGTATCATCACAAGGTAAATGTAACACGGTAAGCCTTGAGAAGCATGATTATTTACTTTAATTATTTTTATGACTTCAAGTGCAAAAATGGCTCCCGACAGTCTTGGATTGGAACTAAGAAAGAAAATTATTGGCAATTACGTAAGTGGAATGTCACAAAAAAGTATTAGTGATAAATATCGCGTGAAAAAATGGACTGTATCAAGACTATGTTCCAAATATCGTTCTACAGGGAAGTTGGCAGCAGATAACAAAGGCGGAAGACCGCATTCCACCACTTCTAGAGAGGGTTCTATGATCGTCAGATCCGTCAAGAAGGATCCCTGGATATCATCAGTCGAGATACAAAAGCAGTTAGAGCTACCTGTATCGGACCGAACAATCAGACGACGTGCTGTTGAAGCCGGATTGTTTTCTCTACGTCTTGTAAAGAAACCACTGATTTCACTAAAGAACCAGAAGAAAAGACTCCTGTTTGCTACATCTCATATTGACTGGAAAGTGCAGAAATGGCGAACTGTCCTACTCTGTGATGAACTGAAGTTCAACATTATTGAGAGCGATGGCATTTGCCGTGTACGTCGACCAGCCGGAAAACACCTTGATTTATGTTACTGCCATAAGACCGTGAAGCATGGTGGAGGCAATGTAATGGTCTGGGGGTGTTTTTCTGCCAAGGTCCAAAACATCGAATCGATGGAATAATGGACCATTTCAAGTATAAAATATCCTGAAAGATGTTATGTTACCTCATGCTGAATGGAATATGCCAATAAAATGGATTTTTCAGCAAGACAACGATCCGATACACACTGCAAAAGTAGTCAAGCAGTGGTTTCAAGACAACCACCTATCAGTGATGGATTGGCTGCCTCAATCTCCGGATCTCAACCCTATCGAGAACCTGTGGGTGATTGTCAACTGCAGAATTAATCTTGAAGGTGTTCATAATAAGGATCAACTGTTTGAACAAATCCAAAAGGCCTGGGCAGCGATTCCACAAAGTTTCATTGAACACCTGATTAAATCTATACCTCGAAGATGGAAAGCTGTGATCGACAACAAAGGATTCGCCACAAAATATTGATAGCAAAATACAGCTTGGTCAACATTTTATGGAGTTGCACTTGTTATGTCCAGAAAGAAATCAACTTTTTTTAATACTTTTGATTATTTTATTAATTTTTGTGTCAAATAATAAACTTTGTGATGAATAAAACTTGAAGAATGTTGTCTCTAAACAGTTACATGGTTATTTCTCTAAATTGAAAAAATGCATCACTTTTATATAAAGAAGCTAAATTAGCATTATTTGGTTGCACTTGTTTTGTCCGATACTGTACATATAAATATATATATATATATATATATATATATATATATATATATATATATATATATATATATATATATATATATATATATTAGGATGGGTTTTTTTTCAACTTTTTTGTCAAAAAAACTAGGCACAACCTCTAAATGTGTGCAAAATAATAAAATAACACTAGGTTTAAAATTTTTTTGAATAAAAAATGTTTGAAGGGGTCCCCCAAGACCCTTGAACGGGTCCCTAATATTAAAAAAAAAAAAAGTTTTTCAAAAATAGGTCAACCTGGTACTCAAATAAAGCAAAATTATATAAAAATTTCAAAAATAATTATTTTGAACAAAAATAATTTTTTCAACTTATATGTTAAAACTACCAGGAAAAAACTTTAAAAAAATGCATTTTTTTTATTTTTTGTTAAAAAATGTTATTTTTTAGGCAATAATACCTAAAATATTTTTTTTTTTTTTAAATAATTAGTATTTTTGAAATTTTTATATAATTTCGTTTTGTTTAAGTACCAGGTTGACCTACTTTTAAAAAAATTTTAAACCTAGTGTTATTTTATTATTTTGCACACATTTACAGGTTGCCCTTAGTTTTTTGAAAAAAAAGTTGAAAAAAAAACCACCCTAATATATATATATATATATATATAAATATATATATATATATATATATATATATATATATATATATATATATATATATATATATATATATATATATATATATATATATATATATATATACATATATATACATATATATAATTAGTAGAAAATCACTTAACAAAAATTTTTTTTGTATATATATATATATATATAATATATATATATATATATATATATATATATACACATGTTATATATAACAATAATATTTGTACCTGTATATAAAATAAACCTGAATTTTTTGAATATAAAGTTTATAAAGTTTTAAAATTTATTCTTAGTATTAGTATTTATGCAGCTTGATTTATAATCCTTTGCCCTTTAGTTTTTTTTCAATTAAACCAAGGACGTTTAACCCATTGTTATAGATCTGAGGCGCCGCAAGTAAACAAAAACCTATGCGAGCTATAATTTTTAGCGTCATTTTTCTGAATAATTTATAAAAGTAAACCGACGTTTTTCCGATAATTTCGCTTTTATAACTACTTTTTTTAAAAAGTACAATTACCTACAAAACTCTAACTTTTTTTAAAAATTAATGCATAATAGTTATACAGAAATAGCTCATCTGTTTTAAAATGTCAAATTTGATACGTGAGCGCTTCTTAATAAGAACTTATTATTAATAAAACTTAGACATCAAAAATCATATTTTTGTAAAAAAGTGATATTTAGTTTGCAAGAATGAATACTGCAAAGTGAAACGAATTTTCTAGATGTTGTAAGTAAAACTGTAGATCATATATAGATCGAACTATAGATTACTTGTGGTTTCTATTCCCTACACTTAGTTTTCACTATTATTTTAAGTATTTAAATTTCTCATTTTTGTCGGAAATTTTGTCTCACTTACAATTTTGTTTTATTATTTTTATGTGATTAACTTTTTTTTCTAAGATTTCGCTTGAGTTTATAGATCATATAAAGAAAAGATTTTATTTATTTAAAAAGTTTTTAGAGTTTTTAGGTGTAATGAAATGTTTAAATATTTCTAAGGCTAGACGAGACTATCGTTATTTTGACGTAAAATCAAGTAAAATTATTCTCAAGTTAAAATTAGTTCTCTATTATTTTGCTATTGTTATTTGTAACAATGAATAGCGCGGATATCTTGGCTTTTAAACAATACTTTAAACGTCCATCTATTAATACGTCCTTGATTAAACTAACTGCAATCAAATATCGACATCAGCTGTTTATTAATTCAATGTTCTGTGATTAGATTATTAGGACTTTTCCAAATATCTTTACCAAAAAACACAAAAAGTATTTTTGTTTTAAATGTAATATTTTTATCTGAATACAATATTTTTTATATGTATAATATTTTTATAAATACATTATTTTTTATGTTTTTAAAAACTTATTGCTGTAAATTTATTCTTTCAAATCTTTACTTAATTTGCAAAAGTAAAAATCGAGTAGATTTTTACTTTTTAAGATTAAAATATCTCATAAATAGAGTTGGGATCAAGCACGTTAATCAAATACAAATACAAATTCATTAATTGTATATTTCAAAATACAAATTCAAATGCATATATATGCAATCGGCATTTTCCGAATACAAATGCAATGTTTGTAATTTAGGTTAAAAAAAATTACAAAGATTTTTTCAAGACAAGTCTGATAAAATGGATTACTGTATAGAATAATAAAAACAAGTCTTTTAATAAATATCCCTTAAAAAAAAGTTTTAATTTATTTTAGTGTTAAAAAAAAAAATGAAAAGGAAAAAAAAACCTCTTGGTTTTTGCCAAAAAAAAAAACCACTGGTTAACCTAGTTTATGGAACTGCAAATACATTTCGATCAAATGCAAATATTTAAGAAAATTTTTATCAAACACAGTACAAATACAAATACGACAAATTAACCCATTTTTACCAAATACAAATAAGTATTTGACCTCAACCCTGCTTATCAATCTTAATTTTATTTTTGTTTCAGCTCTCATTCTTTCCAAAATTAAAGTAATCGAATCACTAAAGCTGACAGAGGCAACAAAAACAAGTCTTGAATTTACAAATTTTAAAATAGACTTTGATGTGTTTAACTCTAAAGAAAAGAAAAAATCAGAATTGGTAGATCCATTGTTTAGAATTATTGTCTGCAAGTAAGTTTTTTTTTATTTTTTCATTTTCTACAATCACTTATTTTGAATATACTTTTATATTTATGTTGTATAAACCCTGCTTTATTGAATTTTTAGTTTAGCTATAAATAATACTGTCAGTTTGTTCAGAACCTTATTATATGCATGTATTTAAAATTTGATTATTTAGTTGTATATTATTGTGAATGATAAATACTAATATAGTTGTATATAATTGTGAATGATAAATACTACATAAATTTATATGTATCAACACTTTAATAATGTTAACACTTTATATGTACTTTATATATTACACTTTAGCCCTTTTATATCTTTTATCTTTTAACCTGATATTTTTTAAATTTAGATATGATGACCCGCCTCCATCTTTGAAAGAGTTGTCGTCCTTAACAAACCAATCAAATGGCGTTCATTTGAAACTCGCTGTTATTAAACATGGGACTGTTACGTTTTACGGTTGCTTTGGTGTTGATCTACCCACTTTAATCTCAGTGTAATAAAAAAAATGTTATCTAGTTTCTTGATTTTTAGGCATATTTCTTGACTTGTTTTAGTTTATCTCCTACTATAATTATGATTAAAATGCTTTACAATCGTAGCATGATTTTGAATATAGCTCCTACATAAAAAGTCTATATCTCTAGTCAAAAAGTCTTGAATGATCAATGAGATTGCTTTTGGAATAAACTAATATTAGATAAAAAATTGCTATGTTATGTCCTGTTAAATCTCACAGGTTTTTTATAGAAGTCATACACATTTTTTTTTAATGTTACAAAAAAAATTTTTACTAGATTCCTAAGTTAATTATGCAGTTTACTAGATTTGCAGGGCGCTTATAGGAATTAAAAACAGCCCTAGTCAAAAAGTCCTATAGGATTATCTGTAAAAATTATATTTAAAATTATCCTATTGAACTACAGTATTTTTTTAAATGTATATTCTGATAGGGTTTTTTAAGTAATACGATTCCAAATGCATATAACTTTTACCCAGGATATTTTAGCCCCGTTTCTTACCAATGTTGCTTATCTGGCTCGGTTCGGCAGGAACTTCTTGGTTCTGAGCCAGAAGTTTAACCACAGCACCATGGCTGCCCTAGTTTTCGATAGCTGGAATATTAACCTTGTTTTAACTTTCACAGTCATATAACAAAGATGAATTCGGATTGTATCGATATAATTGTCTAGTAGTGTTTACAACCGGAGTGGCCAACATTTTTAAAAATAATGATCTTTTGTCCATCAGCTGTTAAAATAGTTAATTATCTAGTTTTTACGTTAGATCTGTGACAGTTCTTTCCAACCTTACTGCAATCCGGATAGTTAAATCAGTTATTTACATGCTGAATCTAATTCCCTTTTAGCATATTAAAAATTTTCCTCTAACCATCAAACTAAGATGGTCAACCATTTCTTCAACTGAAAGTACTTTTCAAAAATCTATTCCTCCTTATTGAGATGCATTAATCAGGTATTATTTGCAAATTCGTATACCGTTTAGAAAACCGGACCCATTTAAAAATCACTTACGGCATATAATTTGGTACAACTTAATTTTTATTACTTATTATCGCACTCACTAGTGCAAACAATGGCTTCTTGCTATTGTACAATATATGTTAACGCTCCGCGCTTTTCTTCTCTTCTTCGTTATTCTTTGCTTGTAAACGCTATTTGTTATAGAGCATATTTTTTTGTCATAATTTTTTATTTGTGTTTAATATTGCTAGCAAGAAAAGATATACATATTAAAACTGTATATTTGTCGGTAATCTATACACTTATGTTGCAACAAATATAGGCAGTCGTTATTTGGCGTTGTAACCTTTTCAGTCACAAATTTTGCAAGATATTTAATAGAAACACAACTAAAAGATATTACTTGTGTTAGCTAACGGTTCGCAAACTGTGGGTTGCGATCATAGCTGGGGACCTTCTGGAAATAATTTATTTACGCTAGTCAGTGGTTTTAAAAAATCAAAGTTGATTCTTTGTTTAGATAATCGTCCCTGTAAACTGATGTTCTCAAGATTTTGTGGAAATGCGAATCCAATGGCTTCTGAATTTTTACAATTAACATTGTCTTTTTCAATTTCTGAAAAAGCTCCACTTGATAACGAATGAAGTTGAGTATCTTTTGCATTCAAAGAGATTTCTCGTTTTGAACCAACCATAAATGTTTTGGAAATCCTTATAATCGTTTAATCGACGTGTTAACCTCGTTTCTTAACGGTGCTTTCTAGTTACTTCTAAATGGTGCTTACTGCTACCAACTTCAATACCTGTTATTTTTGTCATTGCATCATGAACAGCAGCTGTTTAATTAATACTTGAAACCAAAGGAGGTCTACATTTTTTCAAGACCACAGTCTCTTGTTAATCACTGCAAGTTTTATGAGACCACGTAAATGTTTGTTTCATTATATAATCCACCCCAACGTCTACCAGATCCTCAAACTTTGTGTTCATCTTCTATAAACCATGAAAGTCAAGGGTGAGTCTCTGAAGTATTTAACATTTCTTTAAAGTGCAACTTGAACTTCTGGCATAGTATCATGTAGCTGCAAATAAACTCAATATTTTCTTTACGGCTAGCAGATGTAAGTACCAGTTTGAAGTTCGGCACAATTAAATTTCTTCATCACGTCAATATATTCCATACTTTAAAGCTATAATGCGGTTGTACGAGATTCAACTTTCTTTTTCTTACTTAAAGCAGATAATCAATTCTAAGGTTGTTTAAAAACATAACTATTTCCCATCTCAATTAGTGCCTACTTGTTCATACCGTGATAATCAAATCATTAATTGCTTTTTGTTTGACAGGTTTCAAGCCAGCAAGATCAATTCTAATTTGTTTTTTTACAAAATCTTTTAAATAAACCATTAAAACACTTTAAACTATGATGTGAGCTCTAACATATCTAGTTGTTTTTCCTTAAAACATATGTTAAACAGTATTCTCTGCATGCACTTCGTCGAAAACTTCCTCAAGTCAAGAGCCCGAAATTAGCTTATCAATGCTAGCGGGAAAACTCAATTATGTGTGAAACTTACCAAGTCTGCACATAATGTTCAGATTTTCATTTTTCACAATTCCAAAAGCTTTCAGCCATAGCCCAGCGGGCACAAATGTACGCCGGACGTCTATACGACGTCCTATGGACGTCACTAGTCCATAGGACGTCCTCAAGACGTCCAGCAGACATTTTTTATACATTTTTTAAACTTTGCGTAAGCAAACATTTTACTCGGCATTAAATTATCTTTCAAATAATACATATAACTAATAATTTTAGCGATATAAAAAAATTAGTTATTTTGCCCGAATTTGTATTTGAAAAATAGGCCCAAAATGGCATTTCCTGTTCTCAAAAACACGGGTTTTTTTTAACTAACTTTAATATAACTAACTTTATAGAATTTCTTTCAAGGTCTAAGTCTGTTTTCAACTAATTCCACCATATTATATACTGTTAGTAATTAACATTATTAAGTTTACAATATTTCAAGTATAAATTTATTATTAAACAAGAATATTCTTAATATTTACGAAGCATATATATTTAACGTTCTTTGTTTTATGTTTAATTGTAAAATTAATGCATGTCCTGTTTCTTTTCATATTTTATATTCAATAAAAGAAAAAACAAATATATATTAAGAAATAATAAACATATAAACGCATTTAAAAGTTGTTTTAAATATTTGTAAATTTATTTATTTTAACTCGTGATATAGATTGTAAAGGGCTTTATGATGCGATCTTCTGGAAGTCCTACCAGTAATATATTCAATATAAATTTATCTTGTACATAGTTTTCTGGAAAAGAAGAAAAAAAAAATTGTGTTATAAAGCTATGACTCATACACAATTGGAACTTTAAAGTTGACGTTTTATAAAATGTTTAAATGTAAACAAATTATTCCTTTGTAAAAACAACCAAAATATTTATTTGTTTTGTTGACAAACAATTATATAAAAAATTGTAACAAAAAAATGTGATGCCTATAAAGTATAAATGATTAAAAAAATCAGATATTTAAAAGTCAAAAAATTTAAACCATTACTCCCACTGCATGAATTTTCTTCTACGTCATCATCGCTACTACTTTCTGAATTGTAACTAAAAGTATTACTTTCATCGTCATTGGAAAGATTATCTTCAACAACATCTGCTTCGTCATTTTCTTTAGTTGAATCTGATTCACCACCATTGTCGATCTCCGAGAGTTCTTGTAATATGAACAAGCACTGTTGCGCCGACACAGATTTTGGACGTTGACAAGTAACTGATTGTTCAATAGAAAGAGGATGTGCTGCACAGAGATTTTAGATGATGAAGCACCATTAGCGTTAGCTGAATTAATGCGTTTCATTATAATATTATTAGCTTTAACGAAATTTTTTTAAATATCAATATAGTGGTAATTTTCATATTGTAAAAGCAGTAATACTATTGTACTTGTGGTGGCAGCATGTTTATACTAAATATGCGGAAACAATATTTTATTTTATTTGCTAATATTTTGATTTTATTTCATTTTTTTTATTTCGGTTTACATAATCTGTATAAATATGCTGGCAATCCAAATTTAGGAAAATCATGCTACGAAGCCTCTGCTTAGAGTAAAACACGCCGTAATTTGGGCATAAAACCAACGTATATATATGTAGGGTAAAAGAAATTTATATACTTTATATAACTTACATCAAAATTAACAGTTTTAACTGTTAGTTTTATACATTTAAACAAAAAAATAAGTCTAAATGCATATAAATATTAAGTTGGGGTTTCTTGGCATATAATATTTATTAAATTGTTAGGATCGCCATATCTTAACAAATATTATCAGGAGTTTGTGGTCTCGGAATGGTAGAAAATCGCTGATGTATGCCAACGTTAAATCGATCAATAATTCGCATAGCGCCAGGGAACAATAAGCGCTTTACAAAGAACATCACATATCTTGCTACCGTATTATCAAAAACTTAATTATAAAAAAATATATATTTTAACTCCATTCGGCTGGATTGAAAAGTCTTGTTTTTTAAAAGGAACGACCTTTGTAAACTAAATAAAGAATTATAAAAATAAAAGGGGGCAATAATACTTTACATACTATCTATAAATATCTATTTAATTTTGAGTAAAGACATTGTTAGTAGAATTTTAAATTTTTAGTTATAGGCATTTAAGATCATTTGAGATCATTTTGTATTACGGAAGGTAACCGTATTTTGTTGTAACCATTAAAACTTGTGTCATTTTCGTTACACAAGTTTTAATAGTTTCAACAAGAAAAAATATATTCCACGTGCAATCTCTTTACCTATTACTAAAAAGATATTTATGGGTAATATGTAAGGTATTATAGGCCCCATCTTTTAGTTTTTCTATAATTTCAAATTTAGTTTACAAAAATCATTCTTTAAAAAAAAGACTTTTCAATGCTGCCCATTAAAATCTCGCTATGCTAATCACCTAAAATTTTTCAATATTAGTTAATACAGAAATGATACTAAGCTATCGAAATTTAGGACATTAACAAGAGAAAAATTGAATGGAAAATTGTGAAGCTGCATCCCATACAAACCTTCGTCAAAAATATTTAAATTTTTCAAAATGATAAACTTCAAATTTAACATATAAAAATAAAAATCTACAAAACTAATTAAGTTGATTTCAAAACACACGCACAAAAATTCTTTATTTCTTTTTTCGGCTGCATGTTTTTCTCTTCATCAACATAAAGAATTTAATACACAGCAATAGTAACTTTTAGCGTTTTTTTTTTGTTAAAATTTACAATATTTAAAGTTATAATAATATAAATAGCAATGCAATTCATGATTCTTTTTGTTTTAAAAATTCTTTTATTTTTTCGTGGTTTAAATCGCATGCTAAAACATATGGCGTGACAGTTGGCGGAATACCCATTTTTAACGATTTATCTGCACCATAACGCAATAGCAAATCTACCATGTGAAGATCACCTAAAATAATTTAGTTTAGTTTATAAAATTGTTATAAAACTTAATACTTAGTAACAATATACATGAATAAATATTTTCAAATATTTAGATGCCTTAAAAAACAAGTAATGTTTGCATTTTAATTTTTTAAATTTAAAGAAATTTTTAAAAGTAATTTAATTAAATTATTAATCATTAGGGGTTGCTCATTGATTGTCAAGAAAATAGGGGGAGGAAAGTCTTAAAATCTTTGTCAATTACTGACAAGGGGCTGAAAGGAGGTCAGGAAAAGTTAATGTCGCGTTATTTTTTTTAATAAATTTAATTATTTAAAAAAAAGGAAAAAAAAATGTTTTTTTTTTTCATTTTAATTTAATTTGGGGGAGTGGGAGGTAATCAAATGTTGACATAAGGGTGGGTCTCAAGAAGTTTGACAAGTTGTCAAAAAGGGAGAGGGAAAATCGTCAAATAATTGCTGACCTAATTAATGGTAGCCTTTTAAATACAGTATGCTACACGGATTTAAATTTAAAAACAAAATAATTTCTTTTAAAAATTCATACCAATATAATTGTCTTAAATACTCATGAAAACAATATAAAAACATTTTTAATTCAAAATACTTTTTTTTTTATATAATTTAAAATCAAACTTAATATTGTAACAAGAATTTAATGGAAAATAATGCTTTATTGTGATCATTTTAGAATGTTTAAAATTAAAATAAAATAAATACCTTTTAATTTTCTAATATTTCAAATTTTTTTTTTTTTGAAAAAAATAAAAAGCAAACTTGTGCGAGTTAATCATATAATGGTCAACAATTGATTACCAGACTTTTTTTTTTAATCATATTCTTGTCTTTGGATATAACGTTCATAAAATAAGGTTCAATTCACTGAAAAAAATTCATCTCTATTCTACTTCTTCAGTAATTCTTAATGATTCAAAATAAGAATTCAAACCAATTGAAACCCTATAGGGTTCTTACTATTTTCTGTGTGCTTGTTCATTATAAAGGAGTTTTTAATAACTTCATGTTTTATTATTTTTTCAATTTCAGTTTTTTTTTTTTTTTAAATCTCCTTTTGTTAACACAACAGGAGATTTAAAAAAAATCCTTTTGTATAATGTTACCGCATATTTAGTATAAACATGCTGCCACCACAAGTACAATAATATTACTGTTTACTGTAATACAATAATATTACTGATTAAAAATTTGCACAAATTTTAAAAATTCGATATAAACATCCTTAATGCATTCTTGATGGAGAAATTGAAAAAACTCAAAAACATTGGCTAAAACACAACAAAATTATTTTATTTAAGATTTGTAAAATTCTAGTATCTCAGGTTCAGTTCTAATATCCCAGGTACAGTTCTAGTATAAAAACCTTTCACTTAAAAGAACATTTCACTTTAACTTTATTTTATACAAAGTTTGTGTTTAAGAGCTGAAGATTACCATTTTATAAAATTTCAAATAATTTTGATATCATTCTTTTTTTTTTTTTTTTTGCAGAATTAAAAAATAAAATCGCAATAGGAATGATAAAGGGAGTTGTTTAATTGGTTTAATAAACAAAGAAATTTATCACAAACAAACATATGTAAAATCTGAAGATGTCAAAAAGGTTTCTAGTCCCAGCGATGTAGAAAAAATTTGATAACTAGTTGATCTGGGATTAAAATGAATTAATATGCAACAGTTTGTCTGCACATAATAACATTTTAACATTACTAAATATTTTTCTGTCATTTAAATTTTAAAAATTTGCATTTTTTTTTTTTGTTTAAAAGTTTGAGTTAATAAAATTACAAAAAATAATAAATTAACTTTTTAATTAATTTGTTTAATTATTTAATTAATTATTAAAGAATTATTTTTTTATTTTTTTACGTAAAATAAAGTAGAATTGTTGTGGTAAAAATAAAGTAGAATTGATCTTTTAATGTTAACTTTTGTTAATAACGAATCATTATATTCCACAAATCAGTTCTGATTTTCTGGTTGGTAATTTTTTACTTAATGTCTATTTTTTTGGGGCTAATTGTAAGTGCTCATATTACCAAGGGGTCTGGGTAATATGAGCACTTTTGCTACTTTTTTAAAACCTCTGTGTTTTTAAGAAAAAATTTTGGGTGCCCAAATATATAAGTGTATCATGAGTAGTGATACCTAAAAATTTTTGGATTCAGCGTAATTATTCTTGAAAATATTCCAATTTTCGCTTAAAATGCACATAATATCCTTATCTAACCTAAAGAAGTTAAACATAAAGTAAATGATATGGATAATCAAAGCTAGCAAATGTAACTGATACCACACGCAGCTTCATTAACATTCTAACAGATAAGTTACAAAAACTAACTGTTCATTCTTACAATGCAAAAAAATTTCAAACTTCTCAATATTTTTATAAATATTCTTTCTGCTTCTTTAGTAAAAAATTAAACTTTCATATAGATTTGATTTTGTTTTAGCCATCATTTTTGAGTTCTTTGCCCCATAAAAAATAGTCAGGTACAAATTTTCATCACCATTAAACAAATATTACATAAGTTAAAGCTAATAGTATGGCACAATGTGTTTAAAAAAACAATAGCGCTGAAATAAAAAGTCAAAAAGAAGATTGGGACTGAGTCTATAAAACTATAAGGAGTTGTACACTAAAACTTGGAGTGAAGTTTTTTTCATTTATTTAAATAAGTTTAAGCTTGTATACCAAAAGTTATTAAAATCTAAGATGGCATGGTGTCAAGTATAACTTGAATTTATCTGCAAAATATTGCGATTGACCCTTTACGTTATAGTATATTCTACTATTTATTTGTTCAAGAAGTATATTTCTATTAGAAGAAGCTATGTTTTTTATGTACGATGCAAGATTTTCTAGTATACTCAAACTAGTTAACTTGCCATTATGACCTTTAGTTAACCATGGAGGAAGTGGAACATTATTTCTTTTGTATTGCAAAGCTACACATAAACAATAATCAATTTTTATTGATTCAAGAACAGAAAGAAAATGCGTTAAAGGATCAAATATTAAATTGTAATAAATAACACAATTGAGATGTTTTTTAAATTGAAAATCTTCTGGTGAATGTTTACTGTTTAACTTGTTCCATTCAGTTATTTTATCATTTTCAGAAAAAAAGCTAAGTTCACCTTCTTGATAAATATGAGTTTTAGGTGGTCTTCTCAAAGCAATAGGTGATGGTAGTGTGGAAGACCATTTTAAGCATTTGCTTGAGAAAATTTCAGGAATAGGGATTTAACCCCAATTTAACTTGCAATTTATATCTCGAATAATGTACTTTTCATTAAAATGCTTTTCACATAAGAAAGAATTTGGTGAAGGCACCTGATCACTATGATTTACAAAACAAACCCAATAATTTAGCAACTGTTGACCTTTCAACGGAAAATGAAAAAAAGCAACTTTTATATCTTTCAAAGAACTGTTGTATCCAGTTTTACAACCATATGCAACACATTTGTTAACCATAATATTCCGCTTTGCTAATAATAATAAATTGTCTAAAATAGCATTATATATATACATATATATATATATATATATATATATATATATATATATATATATATATATATATATATATATATATATATATATATATATATATATATATATATATATATATATATATATATATATATCAGGGGTCGAAATAAGTGCTGGACATCGCTGCCCCTCAGACCACTTTTGAGAGCTGCTGAGAACAACCAACCATTGTTCATTTTTACTGCAAAAATGAACAATGGTTTGTTGCCCTCATCTAGCAGGTCTCAAAAATGGTCTGAGGGGCAGCAATGTCCGGCACTTGTTTTGACCCCTGTATATACATACATACATATATTTAATGTTTTTTTTAAATATTGTACTGTCATTATTTTGTTACGTAAATAGGCCTCTTAGAATCGGCCTCTAAAATGTAACATACACAACCATATAAAGTAGATCATTTTCCAACAACAGCAAAAATTAGAAAAGTTAGCAATAAATAAAGTACAATCTAAAAAAAATAACAAATTTGTTTGGTTTAACATCTGAAAATGCTATTTCTTTACAAGTTTTGCCCATTTTAGCCCAAAAGTTAACTAACTTGTTAAGTATTGCTCAGACTTAGTAACTGTAACTTTATTTCGCTATGTGATTTATGTATAGAGAAAATTATTACTAATTATAAAATTGAACTCACAATAAATATAAAATATGAAATTTATGAGCTAGTGTTTATTATTTTCAAAACCTTTTTTATTTTTCTATTTTTAAAACATTTCTTTTGATGTCACAATTTATTACATGATGGTGTAAGGGTTTGTCCATAAAGAACCTCAAGCAGAATTTAAATAATAATTAAAAGTAGAAGATCATTGGCTCTTTGACGGAGATTTTCAATGAACAAAAATCGCTATATTACTTTAAAATTAGCCCTTCAATGCAAAACCAATTTTCATATTCATATTTTTTCATTCAATAAATGTTACAGAAAATATTTTATTTTACTTTTGCGGTCCAATCAATGTATGCAGCATTGAAGTGGAGTAGAAGAAGAAAGAATATAAGAAAAGGACCCGACACATTCCCGGACACATATAAATCTCAGGGAAGGGGGGCAGATGATTAGGAAATACTGTGACAAATTCCCTATTTCATCAAAATGCAGTATCAAATTTATTCCTGGTTAAAATCATGATATATATATATATATATATATATATATATATATATATATATATATATATATATATATATATATATTTATATATATATATATATATATATACGTATATATACATATATATCAGGGGCTATTCTAGATCGTTTTTAACAGCGCTGACCCTATTTGGGTGCCACATAAATTAAAATTTGAGGCCTTTTTTTAAATGTTTTTATGACAAATATTGCGAAAAAACGCCAATTTTCCGCTAAAGTCTGCCGAATAGGCCGTGTATATACACACACATATATATGTATATATATATATATATATATATATATATATATATATATATACATATATATATATATATATATATATATATATATGTATATATATATATACATATGTGTATGTATATACATACACACATACATATATGTATATACACACACACACATACATATATGTATATGTGTGTGTGTATATATATATATATATATATATATATATATATATATATATATATATATATATATATATATATATACAGGGCCTATTCTAGGAAAAAAATTTGGGCGGCAGTAACCCCTCGTTCCGGCAAACTTTAGCAGAAAATCAGCGGTTTTTTTGCAAAAATAACAATACTTGCTGTAAAAAATGTAAAAAAAAAAAAAGGTCCTCAAATTTTAATTTTAAATTTCATAGTCATAGCAATTGTTTAAATGCAGTTTACATGTGGTCGCACACAGAGGTCATGCAGGAAAATTGCAAACTTGTTTGATTTATGTAGTTATTTTTAAGAAAATAAAATGCTTTTGAGTGTTTCAAATGAAAGATTATACCCATAGAACTCATATTAAATATATTTTCAATGAGAAATAGCAAAAAATATTTTTAGCTAGAGTTATCACTATACTTAAATCTATTTAAATATATTTTTAAACTTATTGTGACATTATTAACACACAAAAACATAAAATAATATTTTTATTACTAATAATATTTTAAGAATAATATTTTATTATTGCACTTTAAACAATTTCAAATACTAATAACACTTATAAGATTACCTAACATAACAGCTACATGAAGTGGAGTTGCACTTTCGCATTGATAATTAAAGATATTGACATCAGCACCACTTTTTAATAAAAAATGAGTCATTTCTAGATCCCCTTTTCCTACAGTATAATGAAGAGGGGAATTACCATTGTCTGCTACTTCATTCAAACAAGAGGAATTTAGATACTATTAAGAATAAAAAATTTAAAATAAAACTAAAAAAAAAAATTTATAGAAAATATTATAATTTCAAAACAAAGCCATACTGAAAGTAACAATTCCGCTAACTCTTTTTTTCTCTCTACTATTGCAATAAATACCAAATTTCTCAAATGATTATCACATATTCTATTGTAACAATATTCTTTTTGATGATTTAAAAAATACAAGCAAACATTCTTATACCCTTTTTTAATAGCATAAATCATCCAATCATTAATATAACAACTTGACTCAACAATGCTATTTTCAATTGTTGTTAAATTGCATACTAGCTGAGTATTTTTAAAAAAATTAAGAATGCCATTAATCATATTAATTAATCCAAAAGCACGAAAAGCCAATAACCACTGTAAGTTCTGTTTACTACTCACTTTACAAACAGCTTTTTTAAGAAGTGATTTGTAGTTGTCACTTTTTCCGTTCAAAAAAATTACTATAATGTTTAAAATCATTTTAGAGCCTTTGCTACCTTTTAACTTTTTAGGGTATTCTGCAACTACTGTTTGAGCCAGTGCAAAAATATTACTTTCTGTTAAATATCCGCCTTCAAAGCCAGCATGAAAAGCATATTTGAGTTGATCAATTAAAATCGAAAATTCTAACTCAATTAATTTATTCCACTTATGTGTAGACATATTTAACAAAAAATTGCAAAACTCTATAAATTGGTTATTTTTCTTTAAAAAAAGTATTATAGTTTCACGATTGAAATCCAACTCTTGCAACCAACTATTTACAATTGTTCCATCCACAAAACTTAGAATGTTTTCAAATTTGCTAAAGTTTTTTTTTATTTTATCTTCATGAATATCATTTATCATAAATTTTTTTGAGTACATTTTACAAACAGCTGGTGCGGAAACAGGCCTTTTCAAAAAAGGTTGGGAAAAATTCTTTGATCCAAAAGCTGTGTTAGGCCTATTTCTAAATGGCAAAGTATTAAAACTACTAATTGGTAATGTTGAACTTGATCTAGATAGCAAATAATCCGTTAACTTGTCAAAATTTCTACTTTTAGCATTAACTTCATCGTCACTTAATTCATCAGAACTGGTATCATTTCGAAGAGAAATCCTTGATACATTTATTACTTCTCTGAGATCTTTAGTACTACGAGCCATACATCAACAATGTATTATATATTTACAGGTACCTTTTTATTAAGGCAATATTTTATTTAATTTAAAATAATATTATAATATATAAATAATATACGTTATAATATAATTTGAACTTTTTGCAAGTAGATTTATAACTAGTTATAAACTTCCATATTTAAAAATAATTTATTAACTTTTCGCAATTAAAGTTGAGTGTATGAATGTTGGAAAAAAGTCTACTAGAGTTGCGACTCGAAAAAAAACAACGCGTTTTTTTTTTAAAAAAAGACGTTTTTTTTTGCAAAAAAAAAACAAAGCACAAAAAAAAACATGTTTTTTATGGGTTTTCTTTTTTTTTTTTTTTAGTATTCCTTAGATTTTAGATGTTAATGAACCTTAAAACAGTTCCATCTCAAATAAACTTTAAAGTAAATATATAAGTATACATGCTTTTTTGCTTAATGTGTGTTTCCCTATATATTAGCTTTTACTAATTACACATCAATGTTAAAAAAAACACAACAAAATGTAAGAAAAATTGTGTTTTGTAAAGTTACTCTTTTATAATACTACTGTATTAAATTTTAAACATAGTTTAGGTATGTACATTTTAGATATTTCATAAAATAGGGGGGAAAAGTCTAAAAATTTTTGACAATTGTTGACTAAGGGGAATTCAAAAAAGTTGGCGCCAACAATGTTACTTTATAAAATAAATTAAATTATTTTTTTTAAAAAAGCCCAATCAGCAGTACATTAATGGACCAGAGCTGGCGAGCCAGGTCCGGCAAAACACATGTGATCCAGTTAAGGGGCTTAGCTGGCGAACCAGAATTGGCTAACCATTGCCGGTGTCACGTTAAATAAGTAGATCGTTAAATTAGACAAAATGACATTCTGCGCATGCGTTAGTTTACGGATACTTATTTAACGTAGTTAACTAGTCACGTTAAATACAGTCATTATGAACGGTTTGCGCTAGGTTTATCTCTACAAAAATTGTTTTACTAACTAGATAACAAATATTTTTACATAAAGAGTGTTCTGATGATCTCTTTTTTTAGTTTGTTATCATTTTTTTTAAATTTGCTAGATATTATGTAAAAAAACAATGTTCAAGTAGGCGTTCAAAGTTACCCTCGCATTTCGGATAACTTTGAACACTATTAAACTGAATGTCAATTTTAATCTTTTAAATCTAAAAAGTTGTTTAAATTTCTTTGTATTAGTTTAAATTAATTTTTTAAAAAATCTAGTTAAACTATTTCGAGAATAAACAAACAAGTTTTTCAATAAAATAGTTCGAGAATAAACAAACAAGTTTTTCAATAAAATATTCACAAAATAATTTTTAAGGTTATAAAAGAAAAAATAATTAAGACATTATTTTTATATAATTCTCCACAAATAAACACCATTGACTATAAAACTAAATATTACAGTGTTTCATTCTTTTAGTCTTGAGTTACAACTAACTTTTTTACAAAATAATCATGATCTAGGAAAACATATACTTAGTGATTGTTTATTTGCTCCAATGAAAAAACTGCATCATTTTGAGATACAGGTAAAACTTGTTCATTGTCTTCAATAACTTGATTAACATTTACGATGCTTGAACTTTGTAAAATATTAAGTTTTTTGTTTATTTTCATAACCATATTATTTGATCCAAGTGGTCTTCCTCTTTTCTTTGCTTGAATATTATCTTGACTTTTTTTTTTATTGTCTCTTTCCTTATAGTATGTTTCTACCTCAGTGGCTAATACATTTTTCCCTGCTGTTATTGGTAACTTAAATTTTTTGCTTACTTCATAATTAAGATGAATATCATTAACATAATTGCTAAACGATTCTCCAATATTGAGTTGAATATCTATATTTGTAAAACTGGGTAATTTGGAGAGAACATGTTCTGGTACAAACGGATATATGCCAGTAGCCTTAAATCCTGCTTGGAGATTATGTTCTAGATTTTCTTTACCAACATTAGGAGTAGATTTAATGAGCTGCCTTAACAAATTTTTTGGCAGGTTATTAACCTTTTTTCCTCTGGATGTTTTACGCTATTGATTAAGAACTGACCCCCAATCAGCTTTTAAACTCGAGAAATATCCAACATCTAAAGGTTGTAAAAGGTGTGTGGAATTGGGTACCAAACATATAAATGTTATATTGTGCTTTTCACATATATTTAAGGCTTTTAAAGATATATGAGCACTTAAATTATCGCAAATCAGAATTTTTTTACCTTCCTTATTTATAATATTTGGAACAAAGTGATTTAACAGCCACTCTTCAAATATTTGAATTTCCATCCAGCCACTGCAAGAAGTTGCCATTCTTGATCCTTCTGGTGCATTAAAAAGCCAGTCAGACCAACTATGTTTTCCTTTAACAATGAAAAATGGTGGAATTGGTTTTCCTGAGGCATTTCCACAAAAAACAACAGTGTAACAAGTTTTTGTTGTGTTTCTTATAAGTTCTGGATGGTGAGAAGATCGACGAAAAATAAGTTTTTTTTTTCCAGGGTCATCATGAAACCCTGTTTCATCCATATTGTAAATGTTATCCGGCGTTACTCCATTTAATTCCTTCTCTAGATTTTGAAAAAATAATTTTATTTGACAATAATTAATCTGTGCACGTTTCCTTGAAATACAATGAGATTTCTTTTAATGATGGATGCCTGTCAAGATAAAGTTTACACCACTCCCAACCTGGTCGGTTATCTTTAAACTGTTGTATATTTTTCCCACTATCATCCAGATAGATTTTGACAATACTTTTAAAATCATTAATTCCAATTGGTATACCTTTGTCACTTAAATAAAGTAAGTGATTTTCAAAACAAAGTTCCTCATCAATGCTAAGGGCAATAGGGCGCCCTACTGATTTACAGTGTTTACTTTTTAGCTTATAAAATAATGTTGCTTTAGGTACTTTATAAATTTTAGAAGCTTCACCAATCGACATTTTTTCTAATTTAATTTTGGCTAAAGCCTCTTGAAGTGTAGAATTGGTGTAATTAGATTTAGTGCCATATTTTCTTGTGCCAGGATGAGTTGTCAAACATTTTCTTGGCATTTTATGAATGCTAAAAATATAAAGATGATTTATGTTATTAATGAAAATTATTTAATTAATTGCATATTTGCTATTAATAAAATATATTATTAAATCAAGATAGCCATAAATATCAAAAATTAATATAACATAATAGTAATATATATTATAATTTTTGATATTTATAATATCATATATCATTATATAATAAAAATACTATAATAAAAGGATGCCTATTATTTATTATGTATTATTGCAATGTTACTCAGACAGCAAAAAAAGCATTTTTGGAAAACATTGATTGTCTAAAGTTACCCTGAATTTGATTATATTTTAGCTAAGTGGAAATAAATATCCTTTTTGTAGCAAAAAACATGTTAAATCCTATTATTTTGAGTTTGTATTAAAGTTCGAAAAATAATTCAATAAAATACTTAAAAATCTATTCAGATAAATACAATATAATGCCAAATATTCTAAATTGACAACACACGATGTTATCACCACATTCGACTGTGTAACTGAAAATGGAGGAAAACATTATTTTTGAGAAATAAAATTTAATTTTCTTTGGTCAAACTTTAAGTTTGACCATCATTAATGCATGGCGCAAAATGTTTTTAATGTATATGCAAATTTTACGGAGAGAAAAATATATTCATGTTTTCATTCAAGTATATAATTTTCATTATATCACATCCTGTATATTTAGTAATCTTGGTTTTTAATTATTTTATTTTAACTTTTATTTATTTATTTGTCCGAAATCAATCAAGGGGAAATGGTTATTGATGGAGCCTATAACTATGATTACATAAGTAAAACTGGGTTTTATTTTTATTTTACAGTCGTTCAAAGCAATTGCAAAAAACATGGAATTATATAAAATTTATATATATATATATATATATATATATATATATATATATATATATATATATATATATATATATATATATATATATATACAGTACTGGTCATTAGTTTAGAGCCACCCCATTTTTTTGAGTTTTTTGCAGATTATAAAGCCATAACCCCAATGCAGCAAAATATTATATTACTGAAACATGCAAAATATATTGTTATAATATTTTAGTACCAAAATAGTATTAAATTATTAATAATGAGTAGGTCCACCTTTATTTTTAATTACTTCAGCCAACCGGGCTGGCATAGTATCAACAAGCTTCTTGCAATCAACAGCAGTAATAAAAGTCCAAGCGGCAGAAATAAAATCCCAAAGTTCATGTTTATTACTAGCACGTTTGCCTGCACAGCGGCAATCAATTTCATCCCATAAATTTTCTATGGGGTTCAAATCCGGTGACTGGGGTAGCCAGTGCAAGACTTGAACACCATTAGCAGCTAGAAAATCTTTAGCCACTTTGGACGTGTGCTTAGGATCATTGTCTTGCTGAAGATCCATGGAAAAGTTGCAGGAAACAATGCTGTTGCTGAAGGTAGCAAATGCTTTCGCAAAATATCTCTATACATGGCACCATTCATGATTCCTTCTACCTGATGCAACTGGCCCGGCCCAAAAGATGACATACAACCCCACACCATGATGCTACCACCACCATGCTTTACAGTTCCCTGCAAACATTCCGGTTTATATGATTCATTTTGACAACGCCAAACGAAAATACGTCGAGAGTCATTACCAGCTAAATTAAATTTGGACTCATCAGACCACAACACCGTTTGCCAATCAGTAACACTAAAATGCAAAAATGCGTGCGCAAATTTGAGACGCCTCTGCTGATTAATTTTGGAGATAAAAGGCTTTTTAATAGCAACACGACCATTCAAACCTTGTTTATTCAAACGACGACGAACAGATTTTGGAGATATTAAAGGTCCACCAACATCATGCCACTGTCGAGACAAAATTTTGGAAGAAAGGTGACGATTTGTTATGGCCGGGCGTTTTAAGGTTCTATCTTGACGTAAAGTTGACATTCTAGGACGGCCACATCTGGGTTTGCCCGTGAATGTATTTGATTCCAAATGTTTCTTATATGCATTTTGTAAAGCATGGCGACTTTTTTTCAATATTTTGGCTATATCATTTAGGCTTAAGCCACTAATTTCCGAACAGTTGAATCAAGGCTTTTAGCTTTGCCCATTTCAGAAAATATTTTCACTTAAACTCTAA